CCGCCAGGCGCCTCAACCGCGCCTTCCACCTTCTGCTTCTGGGCACATCGCTCTTCGCGGGCTCCATCTACGCCATGGGGATTGGGGGCGCCGGGCAAGACGGTGGGGCCGCTGACGCCCGTTGGAGGTGTGACGCTGATGAGCGGGTGGCTCACCGTTGCCCTTGCCGGCTTTTGAAGGCGTTCAGTGCACTGATGGTTTTCTGATTTCCTTTTTTTTCCCAACCATGAGATGGAACTGCCCCGTAACATGGGCGCAACAGTAAAGCAGCAACAAAAAAAAACAAGCGAATTGCATTTTGTTTTTCAACTCTTTTCTGTTCCTTCTCTTTTTTAACTAGCTAAGCAACTTTTGAGGAAAGCACTGTACGCCTGATTGGGGCTGCTTGGTTTTTCCAACAAAAGTGCCCCAATGGTGCAACCCAGACGCGGCGTCGAAGCTCTGCTTCCTCGTGTACCAAGACGTGCTGATTTGTTCCTGATGCCTTGCGGGGCCAATTTGGTCCGTGGGTTTAGACGTCGACTTTTTTCTCCGTGTGCGTCTCTTTTCTTGCGTTTTCTTGCTTCTTTCATGGATTTTTTTTGTATGTTGCTTTTTCTTTTCCCGTCGTTGTGTATTCACCGCGAGGGGGCGTGGGCGCCAATAGGGCGGTGGTGGGCGTGCGGCACAACAATTCTAGCTGCGGGAGGGGAGACATGCCTTCCGACTCTGCCGCTGCGTCTGCCACCTCGCTGCGGGAGCGGCTGTTGTTGATGGGAGTCGCTACTGCGGAGCCGCGCCCCACCGTGTCTCCCGCGTGCGCCGACATTCTCCGGGGAACCGACGCGTACGGTCTCTCACTCCTTGCCGCCGTTGCAGCCCCGACAGCTGCCCAACGACGCCCCACCGTGCTGCTATGGCTAGACGATGTCGCGAGACGACACTTCCGCTGGCTTCGGAACGACGCAGCAAACTCCGCAACGGCTCGGCGCCTCTTCAGCTGGGCATCGCGCCAGGTGGAGAAGCTTGGCGCTCTCAGGGCGAGGCGCGATGCGGCGAGGAATTTTTCGTTTCACCCCGTCATCGGCGAGAAGAATGTGACGGGGCGGCACGGGCCGCGTATGGCCTACGAGGATGGCGTGCGGTGGGAGCGGCGGCGCTCGGCTTGGCTGGAGAAGGAGAGGCTGCGGCAGGCGGAGGAGGGGGAGGAGGTGGAGAGGGCGTGCAACCGGCCGTGGCAAATGTCGCCGGGCACGCGAAGGATACTGCGGGCACGAGATACGGCGGGCCGTGTAGACCCGGTGGGCAGCGGTAAGGAGGCGAGCAGGCAGCCGGGCGCAGCCTCCAACAGTGGTGCGCTCACGCACCACTACGCCTCGAGGAACTCCCGGCGCCTCACGATGGATTACCCCCCGCTGCTGGAGCGTGTGCGGGACGACGTTGCGGTGCGGCAGCAGCGTGCAGCTCAGCGTGAGGAGTACGCGCGGCGTGAGCCACCTGCGTTGCGGCTTCCACCGCGGCAGCTGGCGGAGCAGGTCAGTCGGCTTTGCCGCCGCGTCGGTGCGGCGCGTGAATCCGGGTTTGGGGGAGAGGTGACTTTTGCGCCAAGGATCAACCGAGGGATCTTCTCACCGCCAAGCAAGCCCCCGGGCTGCACGGTCATTGTGGCCTCCTCCTTCCAGCAAAAACGGCAGGCGCGGCACGGCGCGGATGCAGAGGCGCCATTGATGCCGCCTGGCCGCGCCGTGCCGGAGACGCAAAAGGCGGGGCCCGCAATTTCCCCGATTCAAACTGCGGCCTTCTGCGCGCGGCAGCGGGCGTGGGAGGCGCGTCGCAGGGGGCATATTCGTCGTCTCAGCGAAGAGCTCAACGCCCGTCGGGAGGAGGCGCACCTGGCGGAGTGTACGCTTCATCCCACCGTCAACGCTTCGTCCCCGAGCAAAGTGCTGAACTTGGAGGAGACCCGCTGTCTGTCAATGCGTGTCCCGTTCGGCGCCCTCGAGCAAAAGTCCCCAACGCACCGAAGGTTGCTCCATTTCGAAGACATCAGCGAGCTCTGCTTGCGGCGGTCACGTTTGAAGAAAACCCCGTCGTCAGCGAACGCATCTCCCTTCCGTGTAGCTAGCAGGAGAAGCGCCTCGCCGCGCGGCAGAGCGGCTCCACGCACATCCCCACGCGAGGCAAGGAGGTGCCACGCGGAGCTCCACACACCTTGGGTGGATGCCCAAAAAGGAAGACACCTGTGCAATGCCGTGGAGACCTCGCCAGCAGCAAGACGGATTTGCGCGACCCAGCAGGAAGCCGGGGGCGTGCCGTTGGAGCTAGACGGACAGACGCTGTTTGACTTGAGTGTGTGGTGGAGGGATCTTATTACGCAGCAGCTGCAGATCTCGTTTGACGCCGGTGCCCAAGGCGAGGACGGCGCGTTTGACGCCCACCTCTACGAGTGGGCGCTGGAGAGCCCCTTTACACGCACACTGGCTCCCCAAACCGTAGTGGGGGCGCTGCAGGAGCTCCTTTGTCTCAGCGCCGGCGAGCCGAGCGCCATGGCGCTTGAACGCCGACTTGGTGCGGAATTTTTGCGGATTCAAGCGGCATCACAGAGAGATAGTGGGGTGACTTTCGCCGAGTTTATCGGCCTCTACGGCAAGTTGTTGTGCAGAGACTAGCGCAAAAGGCGATTTGTAGCGTGCGGGGGAAAAGCAAGATAATTAAAAATACATGCTTGCGCCTCTACCATCTATATTTCCTCTCGGGGCCCTCCGGCCCATCCGTGAAACTCGCGTAAATCCTGAATCTCCCTTTTTATTCTCCTGTTTCTTTGTCATTTCCTCACTTCTACGCGCTCTGCAAAAGAAAGCGAATAAGCAGCTCATAAAGAAAAAAGTAAGAACTACATAACTCGTCTTTTTTAAAAAGCAGCCAGTACACGAAACACGACATGGCGAAAGTAAAGAATACGACCATGATCATCATCGGTGTCGTGGGGTTCATTGCCGTGGCGGCCGGTGGCTTTGGCGAGCACGTGCTGGGCCCGAAGATGACCCCGGAGATGAAGTACGCGTGGGGTCTTGCGGTGCAGTTTAATCTTGTGCATGCAGTCGCGATGATGGCGGTGTTTGCCGCCATGAAGTCCCTTGACCCCGACAGCTCCGCCGCCAGGCGCCTCAACCGCGCCTTCCACCTTCTGCTTCTGGGCACATCGCTCTTCGCGGGCTCCATCTACGCCATGGGATTGGGGGCGCCGGGCAAGACGGTGGGGCCGCTGACGCCCGTTGGAGGTGTGACGCTGATGAGCGGGTGGCTCACCGTTGCCCTTGCCGGCTTTTGAAGGCGTTCAGTGCACTGATGGTTTTCTGATTTCTCTTTTTTTTCCCAACCATGAGATGGAACTGCCCCGTAACATGGGCGCAACAGTAAAGCAGCAACAAAAAAAACAAGCGAATTGCATTTTGTTTTTCAACTCTTTTCTGTTCCTTCTCTTTTTTAACTAGCTAAGCAAC